AATTTGATAAAATGAAAGAACTACATGTATTTAGCATTATGTTGAAATATTTGATGTCTCATTCTTAAAGCCAAAATGGAGATCATAAACAAGAAGAGAAAGAGAATAAAATAAATGAAGATGATAAACAAAAAGAGAAAGATAAGGAAGAATATGGTAATGGTAACAAGCTAAACAAGGGAAATGTAACAAGGGAAGTGATGATGAAAATTGAGAAGAGGCTATTAAGGTAGCACAAGTTTTAGATTAATTTGGTTTGATGATTCATATGATGAAGAATTGATGATGAAGGGAATTATATAGGTTGAGAGTTGGATTTTATATACGAATATGAAAAATATAAAGAATCGTCGTACCTGTTCTGAGGCAAAATAGGAAAAGTAAACATGTTAGGGAAAGTTGGTAGCTTCATTATATTATCTGACCGCCGCCCAAATCATTTTCGATTGTGTATTCCTACGTCGTTCCTCAGGGCATCCACAGCTTACGTTAAATGGGCAAATAAGGTGTTCGCTATCTTCCATATACAATGATAGTCTACTCACATACATGTGTAATTTGTTAATTGGCTTGAGAAACCCCTCCCTCACATAAAAATATCAACTAAGAATCTATTAGATTTTCTATAATATGTATATCTTATATTCAAACGCTCAAAAAGGTCAAAACTCATCACAGATTCAAGAGCAACAGAAGAAACAGCAAGGTTCGAAAAAGTTGATTGAGAAAGAGGAGGACAAGCAAGAAGAAAGATATTCAAAACATTACTGGCGTAATTGTGCTAGTGATGAAGAGTTGGTTAGCATTTTGTGTGAAAATAATTTCATGATTTAATTCTAAATATTATTGTTGATTTAAATGAAAATGCTACAGCGAAATTATGAATGTTATCACTATAGATAAAATGATGTTTTATAGTAAAAGTCTTTTATTTATAGAAATTGGAATCAAAACGTGTAAATATATTTTATTCAAAGATTTAATCTAAATTGCTCTGTAGGTAGAATAATATATTTCATCTTTAGATACAATTCCCTTTTTGTTGTAAAATATTGTTCAGTGTGCTCAATCGGCAACTGAAGATGCCGTGCTAGAGAGTATTACACTATTACTAGCTATTGTGCTTATCAAAGGAGAGACATCCAAAAATCTCAATATCATAACAGAGAGCTTATAGTTGATGATTCGCAAATATGTTTTCTCCGTGATATTTAGAATCGAATGATATTGAAAACATCGATCTGGTCTTCTATTAATTATCATAAAATTATTTAATGTGTTTGTTAATCAACTCTAACATCACAGCGTAGATTCGTCCCATACCCATTGTCCGATATTCAGGTTCATTTGTGATAAGAGCATTTTGTATATTAGTTCAGTTGCTGTTTTAATATTGTTTTATTATTATTGATTACTAAAAGCGATTCATTTCCGAGTAGCTAGTTAATTTAAATATTTTCGCGTGCACGATATATTAATGTCATGCTAAAATGTAGTGTCAATAATCAAAGTAACATTTACCAAATGATAGTTTTGTAAATATTGCATTTGGCTTGAAAATACACAATTTTAAACATATGTAAGCATGATTTTCTTCTCATTTTTTTCGTGACGTGCTTTTATGGTGCTGTCCAAGTCGAAAATGTATGCTCGTTATTACTGGTGTTCATGTTTAAATTTCTGATAACAGTTAGCTTTGTTTCTTTACTTGTGTTTGAGCACTAAACTCAAAGATTGTATGATGTAAAATGAACCCGTGATTGATTGATTAGAAACTATAATCTAGCCAAAAAGTCAGGGTTGCATTTTATGCCTTTCCATATGTTAACTAATGCTATTTAATTTTTATGTGTTATTGGATCGTAAAAAAACGTACTATCTATTTTTATAAATAATAGAACCAAATGATGACATGTGGTTATATTGAATTGTGCAACATTTTCAAGCAACGAATGTAATTCCTTATGTATATGACCTCAGTCGATTCTTTTTTAAAGAACTCAATGCTGTCTCGTTCAAAATTTCTGTGTCTATTTATTACATGTATATATGCTAATTGGATAATAAATTTGATAAAATGAAAGAACTACATGTATTTAGCATTATGTTGAAATATTTGATGTCTCATTCTTAAAGCCAAAATTTTGCATTGACGTTATCAATGTTAATATATTTATGACTATTGACTATCGCTATTGACGTCTGCCATCTCCACAAGCTGATTACAATATATTTTTTCTCTATTTTTTTGCTTGAATATAACAATAAAATTTGACAGACATATCTACAGAAAGTTCATGAATATCTAAAAGCTCATAATCCATTAAAAATTTAGCTGAGTCATTTGAACACGGTCATATAGAAATTTCGATCAGCATCACAGCAAAAAAGTCTCGACCAAACATAACATAAAATGTCGAGTCCTTAAATACTGATGCGTGTTTTTTGGTGTTAATGTTGTGTTTTAATAAGAAAGTCCAAAATTTTATTGCTGCTACTGTACATGTAAAATATGTCGATCATTTTATCTTTATAAAAAATACCACATACTGTATATACATACATGTGCTCCAGACTTGGATCTCATTATATATGCATTTTATTTTTCAAGCCTAAAACTTAGCTTGAAAGTCTCAAAATACATCGGATACATGTATATTATTATTTTCCAATAATACTTAATTTTGCGTACACTAATTATTCATTGATATAGTAACATCAAGGATGTTTATTTCATGTCATTTTCATCATTCTTGACCATATTAATGATGCTTTCGATGCTTTTTTTCCTTCGATTTCTTGCTTTTTCCTTTTTTTGTAGTGGTGTATATATCTGGAAGTAATGAAAATATCAGTAATTAATACACATATTATCATAAAATATTTTTGCATACGCACGTTCAGGTGGTAGTTTGAACTCATATACAATTCCATCATTCTCTACAACCCAGAACAAGTTATCTTTTCCATTGTTCAATTTTGCTTCTTCTAAAGAATTTCCCATTGGCCACAACATTTGTGACATATCCTCCCACAAAAATACACGACCATAACAATCTAAAAAAATCATTCCATAATCGATCTCCCCAATAATAATAATGTGATTGAAACCGAATTTTCCAACCCACTGTATATAACATACAAGCCCCTTTGGATCACCACTATCACTTGGAAGCTCACAACCAATGAAAGATGCAAGACGACGACGGTCAGAATCATTTGCAAATGTATCAACTACCACAAGTTTATTGTTGCAAAGTGTTTCATCTTGTCCAACACATTTTGACACCTGAGACATGGACTCTTGACCATCAATTGTGCTCCTGGCTCCTTGGGTATGATAAGTGTGCGCGAGTACAAGGCAACACGATTTCGTCGGGATTTCCGTTGTCCACGTAATGCCTCCCATGGTACCAATTCTGCACAATTTCCCAAAGGATGCTTGCAGTTCTTCAATTGTTCTTTGGTTAGGACAGGCTTTGAACCCCATTGTAATATCTTCATTGTTTTCATCCTCAATGCTGGTACTAATATCCTGAGTTCCATTCCCGCTGGTCCGCAACGAATTGACACGCCGAACATGAACCTCACTATTCTTCCTTTTCGCTTCGAGTATGTGAGATTTACTGTCCGAGGACGGTCTGCTAGGGTTGGTTCCATCTTTACAATCTTCTCGGCTAAGAGTTCCAAACTCCTTGCAAGGTATGCGGTCTGCATTTGTAATGTTTGCTTCCTGGAGGGCCGATTGACATAGTACGTCCAAAGAAGGCATATTACGTCCCATACTGTTATCATTAGAATCAGTCGACAACGAGGAAGGCTTACCATCTTGCCCTCCAGACCGAACGGAACCACAATTCTCTCTGATCTATGCCAAAAAAATGATTTTTGAATACGTTTGAAGAACATTTTTTCTGTGCAAAACTTACCTGAAAGGTTTCACAAATTCTACTATCAGCTCCCTCTGCCATTGTTCTTATCTTTGTTTATGCATGTCTAATATATTTTATGACATCATTTGTCATCATTATTTTTGAGTCATGATACATTTGAGAGTTGCAGGATTTTATATTCAAATAATACCTATTCAGTGATATAATAATAAATAAAAAGATAAAGATATAATTATGAATGTCTGCTATTTTGCCAATTAAGAATTGGCAAAGAATTAATCAAATGAAATACTTATATCAAATCTCTTGACTATATTCAAGACTGTAACATTTATTTTATGTTATATAGTATAACAAAAAGTCAAATATAGGGAGATGTAAGAACTGATATGATATGCAGTTCAACTTGCTATTGATCATAATGATTATAGTAAAATGATAGTATAGTTAAAAAAGTATATTGACTGGCACAAAAAAATAGTAACTATACTTACTAGATCTGTGTAAAATTGAAATCTTTAAGAATTCTTCAAAATCCAGTCTAATAATGCAAACAAGAAAAATAAATCTGAACCAATCAAAAATCTATTAGTATTATGATGAAAGGGATATCCAGAAACCAAATGTTATAAATTCATAACTAAAAAAAAAATATGCTCATATACCTATGGTATTTATGATTAATCAGAATATAATAATGTAACATGTCAAAATTATTAAGATATTTACTTATTTTTTATTTATTAATTCTCTATTTAACTATATAACTCACAAATTACATATCCAGGTCATCATAATATATTAACCCTAATCCAAATATGATTATTATATTTTCCCTAATAAAAAATCACTATATATCATATTTTTTAATAATCAATCAAATAAAAATTTTGAAATTTCTGGCTCTAGCTGAACTAATTTTCTGAGGTTGTTTCTGGAACAGGATGTTTCAATTAGATTTATCCTTATAATAATATTACTATTAGTCAAAAATATTCAAGAATATTCATAAATACATTCTCAGTTATGAAGAATATCAAAGAAATAAAAATAATAATTAATTATCTATAGATCTTTTATAACTCTTGAAAATATCTGAATAATACTAGAAATAAATTACTTTAAATTTTATTATATAACTATCTATAACTCATCAAGAACATAATGTAATTTTAGTTATTATAGATCATCTTACTAAATACATTCATTTTATTTCTATATATACTACTATTACTGCACCTGAAGTTACTAAACTCTTCAATAATATCTTTAAATTATATAGACTATCTCAT